GGGAAGCGACTTACTGTAAAACAACACGCACAATGTCACTAATTCTTTGCTATATCTTTATTATTTTTTTATCTCTAATGTTTGGTGTATTTGTCAGTGTACAGTCGTAAATTTCTTGTGAGAAACCAATAGTAATATGATCATTATCACACAAAAGGCTTGTGTCGGTATATTACAAAGGCAGTATCAAAGATTATAAACAACAACCTATTCCTCCTCCCCCAACCCCTAAAATTTTAAAAAAAAACTTGAATACCTTACTGAAAATAGTAATGTCATGGTAATATTTTGCGATTGGGCGGCATAAAATGTTTTCGACAAAATCTTTGACATTGAAGTTCTTCTAGTTGATATTTATCGTGGATTGATCGCAAAAAGCAATCATGTGATGACTTATAAGTAAATCTTTTGCATGTCAATCATTTGAAAATACTTAACTTTCATACTATAACCTTCTTACTCGAAAAAAATTGTATCCATATGGCAATCGAGAATTCAGTCTTCATTTTCTGTGGAAGAAAACGGTATATTTTTAATAAAATTAATCAATTCTTTTTAAGAAAGAAGACATATTTGAAACAATATGATCTGAAGAATGGGTATATGTTAAGTAATATGTTTTGGCATTAGTCTAACGCTTGCCAGACTTTCTAATTAAACCTTTAAAAACGACTTAGATATGTGAAAAAATTATCAGTTTAAACTTCACTATTGTGACGTGAAATCTGACCACGTTTTAATGAAATAACATGAATTGTAGATACAGAAATGTACTTGACCAAACATACACAATAAAATTCATGAAGAAATATTTACACAATCGAATTTCGATTACTTAAATGCAATAACGGTACCAAAATCCACTGATAAATATCTTAGCATTGGACTGTCTTCTGTAGGCATTCGTGCTTTTCTGAAAGTTCTAACATTTAAGCAGAAGACTCTTACTCTTGGAAAACACCCGGTCTTTTTCTTCTGGAACTTTTTCAGGAGTCTCCTATTAGACCTTTCCTTTGATCTTATTTTGACAGTTTGATGAAATCTTAGTTTGGATTATGATTCTGTTGACTTGTTATTTTCTTGGTGTATTTGGATGTACAAAAATGCCATAAGCAGACAGTTTAAGGTTATTATTTTCATTCCCTACCTGTTTTGTTGTCTTATGCCGAGCACAATTTGATTTCAACGAAATTAATTACTCATTATCGAAGTATGTTCTATCAAGTAGAACGTCCAGTTTGATGGAATCTGTTGCCGTTTCTTTACCCCCAGTATTGCTGTCACCATGGTCACACGCTGGATGGCATTTTTTGTATCAAAAAATAACTTCGTCAAACATTCTATTAGGAAATGTTAGTACACAGTACTAATTCCTTGTGCTTCATCAAGTTACATGTGCTTCATGTGTTATTATTTAGGGAAGTGGCATCACTTGGATGAATCTAGAGGCTGAAATTAACGGATTATTCGTTAAAAATATTAGAAAAAAGTATAACGAAAAGCATTGCGGAAATTATTCGGGGTATTAATAATTCAGAGTTCAGAGTTCGGGTATTACTCGGTATAATATTTATATATTGTATTTTGTTCTTTCCTTGGCGAAATCCTTGGCCTGGCAAGTATTACTCGACTCATAAATTGTGCCCCGACGTAAGGGTGACCTACTCGAGTTAGGTTGTCCTTTCGGCCGTCTTTAGCAATGATGTCACGTTGCAATTTGGGAGTTATGCCCCTTCGTACTAGTAGTATTAGTTTTGTGAAACATGGATTGAGGGTAGATAATTTTAAGTGAAGCGACTTACTGTAAAACAACACGCACAATGTCACTAATTCTTCACTATATCTGGCTTATTTTAGCTCTAATGTTAGGTGTACATCTTTGTATACAGCCGAAAATTATTTGTGAGAGATCAATTGTAATATGCCCTTGTGCACTCAAAGGCTTGTTTCGGTATGTTACGAAGGCAGTATTAAGGAGTTAAAAATTACAACTAATTCCTTCTCCCTCACCCCCTAAAACTAAAACAAAATTATGGAATTCCTTACTTCAAAGCGACGTAAATAGTTATGTCCTTGTAATATTTATCGATCGTGGGCACACGTTTTCGACAAAATCTTTGACATTAATGTTGTTCTAGTTGATACATATCGTGGATTGATCGCAAAAAAAAAAAAAAAACAAGCACGTAATGATTTATAGATAATTCAGTTTCATGTTAATCATTTGAAAATACTTATCTTTTATCTTAACGTACTTACTCGAAAGAAATTGTACTCATATGACAATCGAGAATTCTATCTTCATTCTGTGTGGAAGAAAACGATATATTTTTAGTAAAATTAATAAATCCTTTTAAAGAAAGTAGACATATTCAGAACAATTTGTCGAATTATTTTCATTCCCTACCTGTTTTGTTGTCTTTTGCCGAGCACACTTTCAACGAAATTAATGACTCATTATCGAAGTATATTCTGTCAAGTAGAACAGCCAGTTTGATGGAATCTGTCGCCGTTTCTTTACCCTCAGTATTGCTGTCACCATGGTCACACGCTGGATAGCATTTTTTGTATAAAAAAATAACTTCGTCATACATTCTATTAGGAAATGTTAGTACACAGTACTAATTCCTTGTGCTTCATCAAGTTACATGTCGGTAAAGTTATTGTGGAATGATAGGGGGTATTAATATTTCAATCACAGCGACATCTTAGCGGTAACAATTGCTTTAGAGCAATTAGTGCGCGTATGTAATTTTGCAGCATCATGACAGCTGCACATGTGTCTTTGCAAAGTGGTCTAGCTAAAACATTTCTTTCCGCAGCAGGTGTATTTCCCTAGCCATTGATGCCGTCAAAACAGCCATGATTTCAAGTTATGAACAATACATCGTTTCCCGATAAAATATCGTGTACGATACTGGAACGAAAACCATTGCGTACGATACGACTTTTACAATAATATTTAAATATTTTAAATTAAGCGCCCTTTTCACACAATTAGGTTAGGAAATTACATAATATTACAATATTAACAATTAGGGATGTGGATATAGTTTATATCTTAGTAGTAAAGTGCCAGATGATCAATTTCGCTATAAAATTGTGTACGCTATCCTACTGACGGTCGACCCGGAAGATCAGTTGATCGGGTTTAATTAGAAAACTACACAATTACGTCGTAAATGGTTTTCTCAATAAAATATACTACCATCCTAGTCTTCTTTGCGCCAATGCCCAATTAAAAAGGAAGTAGGGTACCTGAATAATGTAAGCAAAACTCACCCGAAGTGGACAACGCCATTTTGAATGTATGTGTGTACCTTACTTTATGGTCACGTGGCTTCTACACACTGAGTAAGGTATCAAGTAAATTTTCGGTGGTAGTATACACAGATGTGTTCTAAGTTTAAAAAAGTGTGACGAGATGGATAATAGATTGCAGGGGAACAAGATAATAAAAGTCGATTAGGCTATGGTTTGATTGATGTGGTCTCTCGCCGATGTCTGCTATCATGATTTAAGGCGATTTATTTTCTTTATACTTACTGTGTAAGTATTAAAAGTACAACGTGAATCAATAAACAATTTATCAGAAACATCAGGCTGAAAAGCTCGCTCACTTACAGAATTACTACACTTTTATCTCGTACACAGAAAACTTGGAACACAGAAAACATCATGTTTCACTTTCAGCCATTGAAAGCACCATTCGCCTGCAGATTAATTAATGACATGAACCAGATCAGTCGAGATTAATTTCAGACAGGTTTAATGGACAAAACTAAAAACTAGTATGTCATATTATGCATTATGCTGAAGAACACTATATTCCAGGTATCATTTCAATTCTTGATTTTTATAAGGCATTTGATTCTGTTCGCTGGGATTTTATCGATCAATTATAAAATTTCGATCACAACAGGAGAAGCTAGATAAAATCTGTTCATATTGATTTTATGTCTGCTGTAAGTCAAGGTTGCCGTCAAGGTAACCCAGTAGATCCATATATGTTTGTAGTGTGTGCAGACATTCTTGTTACAAACCTAAGAAATGACACGTGAATTCACGGTATTGAACTAAACTATTGCCCACTGCTCGTTTCCAAATATGACCTTTGGACCTTTGACATCACTTAACATTGCAATAAGATGTGCAAATGAAAAGTATATGAATTTTATTTATATTGAGTATATATTTGACTTTTGATCTTTGGGGACCTTTCTATTGACGTTTAGTGTATGTGTACAGTGTAATGAAATGTTGAAATGAAAAGCATGCAGTATTGATAGTATTGATGACTTATTTGACCTATGACCTTTACTGACCTACGCATCGACCTTTCGTGACCTATTCATCGACCTTTGGCATAACTTAACTAAGATTTCGAAGTACAGTCAAAAGTGTTGATGGTTATTTGACCTGATATTTGGTGACCTATATATTGACCTCTGTCGTATGTTTGTCAGTTTATAATAACAACTATTAAGCAACAGCATATTTTGTTGAGGAGATATGAAGAGAAATAAAGAGTAGATAGGAAAAAACGATTAATTAACCTTAATAAGTATCTGTATGTCTTTACCCGAGAACATATTGAAATGGCTTATAAAGGCGATTAAACAAAATTTCAAATATCTACATGCAATGCGTCTGGCTCTAGAACAATAATTATCCGATAAGAAGAGTATTTAGGTCTGTAGGCCTTTTGTTCCTCTGTCATGTGACATTCCCCTTTGGCTTTTGGTAGAGATTTAATTAATTATTTTATCTAAATTTCACTTGAATCAGTCTATTCAACCCGCTTGCATTTCAGACCTTTGATAATCTTCAGGTGTAGAGCGTGTTGAAACAGGGGTTACACAGACTAGTGTTCAGTGAGGTTATTATATAGGCTTATTGACAGAGACCGGTTATACGTGTAGTTCATGGTAGTCGATCTGGTGTTATCAGTACGTGTCCAGTTAAACACACCACAAACACTCGTTCCTCATACATGAGACATGGAGGTGATCACGGCCGTGTTAATTGTGGTCATTGTAGGTCTGATTTTAAGATGGACGAGACAAACCCGTAACCTCCCGCCTGGTCCTGGGGGTATACCAGGTTTATCCGGATTAAAACTAATGGCGTCCGATAAAATACCGACGAGGACTTTCCGTAAATTGAGAAAGAAATATGGAGACGTTTTCAGCATTCGAATCGGAACACGGCTCCTTGTCGTTCTTAATAGTTATGACGTCATAAAAGAAGCCCTTGTGAAAAGGGCAGACGAATTCTCAGATCGTCCTAATACCTTCGCTAATACGATGTTTGTCAAAAACAGAGGTAAGGGGTTAAATATACTTACATTGTACGTGATCATAGCAAATACCTTATATACTAACATTGTACGTGATCATAGCTAATAGCATATATACTCACATTGTACGTGATCATAGGTAATGGCAGATATACTCACATTGTACGTGATCAGAGCAAAAACCTTATATACTAACATTGTACGTGATCATAGCTAATAGCATATATACTCACATTGTTCGTGATCAGAGCTAAAACCTTATATACTAACATTGTACGTGATCATAACTAATAGCATATATACTCACATTGTACGTGATCATAGGTTATACCACAGATTCACATTGTACGTGATCATAGATGGCACCACATACTCACATTGTACGTGATCATAGATAACACCACATACTCACATTGTATGTGATCATAGATAACACCACATACACACACTGTATACGATTATAGATAACACCACATACTCACATCGTATGTGATCATAGACAATACCACCTACTCACGTTGTACGTGATCATAGGTTACAACACACACTCACTTTGTACGTGATCCTAGATAACAGCACATACTCACACTGTAAACGATTATAGATAACACCATATACTCACCTTGTACGTGATCATAGGTTACACCATATACTCACACTGTACGTGATCATAGATGGCACCACATACTCACATTGTACGTGATCATAAATTACACCACATACTCACACTGTACACGATTATAGATAACACCACATACTTACATTGTATGTGATCATAGGTTACACCACATACTCACATTGTACGTGATCATAGGTTACACCACATACTCACATTGTACGTGATTATAGATAACACGACATACTCACACTGTACGTGATCATAGATAACACCACATACTCACATTGTATATGATCAAAGCTAATACCACGTACTCACATTGTATGTGATCATAGATAACACCACATACTCACACTGTACGTGTTTATAAGTAACACTACATACTCACACTGTACGTGATCATAGATAACACCACATACTCACATTGTATATGATCAAAGCTAATACCACGTACTCACACTGTACGTGATCATAGATAACACCACATACTCACATTGTATATGATCAAAGCTAATACCACGTACTCACATTGTATGTGATCATAGATAACACCACATACTCACACTGTACGTGATTATAGATAACACCACGTACTCACACTGTACGTGTTGATAGGTAACACTACATACTCACACTGTACGTGATCATAGATGGCACCACATACTCACATTGTACGTGATTATAGATTACACCACATACTCACATTGTACGTGATCATAGATAACACCACATATTCACACTGTACACGATTATAGATAACACCACATACTCAAATTGTATGTGATCATAGATAACACCACATACTCACACTGTACGTGATCATAGATAACACCACATACTCACACTACACGATTATAAATAACATCACATACTCACATTGTACGTGATCATAAATTACACCACATACTCACATTATACGTGATCATAGATGGCACCACATAATCACATTGTACGTGATCATAGATTACACCACATACTCACATTGTACGTGATCATAGATTACACCACATACTCACATTGTACGTTATCATAGATAACACCACATATTCACACTGTACACGATTATAGATAACACCACATACTCACATTGTATGTGATCATAGATAACACCACATACTCACACTGTACGTGATCATAGATAACACCACATACTCACACTACACGATTATAAATAACATCACATACTCACATTGTACGTGATCATAAATTACACCACATACTCACATTATACGTGATCATAGATGGCACCACATAATCACATTGTATGTGATCATAGATTACACCACATACTCACACTGTATACGATTATAGATAACACCACATACTTACATTGTATGTGATCATAGGTTACACCACATACTCACATTGTACGTGATCATAGGTTAAAACACACACTCACATTGTACGTGATCATAGATGGCACCACATACTCACATTGTACGTGATCATAGATAACACGACATACTCACACTGTACGTGTTTATAGGTAACACTTCATTCTCACACTGTACGTGATCATAGATGGCACCACATACTCACATTGTACGTGATCATAGATATCACCATATACTCACACTGTACG